TTAACGATAGTTGACACCAGCATCCAGGTAGTGAACAGTTGTAAACTGCTGGGAGACACCATCACCAACAACTTTTCATGGACAGACCACGTCAATAATAACACCACAAGAGCATCCAAGCTTCTTCACATCCTCTAAAGCAGTGGCTCCCAAACCTTCTTTCACGCAACGCTTCCCTTTTGATTTTTACAAAACCTTCACGCCCCCCCCCCCTTCCCTTTTTTTAAACAATTCAATCAACCTTATGATCATTTTTACACTTTGTACTCGTATTTATATTACTTTCGAGATCAAGTAACTCGTAATTATGTTATCCATGGATCTCGTGCATGTGGGGAAGATTGAAATATAGTAAGAAAAAAATTAATGCTACAATTTTATTGAAAATTTCAGAATAGAGAAAAAAGAATGTCAATGAATATTTTTTTCACATGGCATCACACTCTCAAGGGAGGCGCTCCCCCAAGGTTGGGAACCACTGCTCTACACCCTCAGAAATGTAATGCGTCTCCTCAAAAACTGATCAAAGTATACGTCACCTTCAGTACATAACTACTACTACTTTGTTGTCACTCGGAACCGAGTATGATGATCATCCAGCTATGATACAATGGTATAAATTATTAAGGATGTCACCTACGTTGGTGAGTTCTAAGGTGACTAAAGAGGCCGATACGGGACCCAAAAGACCATCCTGGAATAATGCTACCCACTTTTCCACGCCGGGTTCACACTACAGCAGGCGAAGCAGATACGAGGGATTCAGCGTCGAGTAATGAAAATAGCAGTGGGTTGGGACACTACATATCAAAATACCCTAAACATGTTCGAGTTGACTAAATTGGGACACAGACGCGAGGCCCTAAGCCTAAAGTTCGGGCGTGGTCTACTGGCAGAGCCACGACATTGCGACCTGCTGCCGCCGCCGCCGCGGAGGTGGGAATTCAGTCCCAGGGTAGCAAGGGACTCAGATCGCCTTCAAACCAATCGTATTGAAAAACTCTTCGCTGTACTCTGTACCACCATCTCCGACCTACTCTTGCCCTCTGTTGCCACCCAGACCACCCCTTTCTTCTGGTTTGGCACAAGCTGGTAGTCCCCCTGTGAGCCCCACCTGCTCACGGCCTACTCCACCGCCGGCGGCCTTCACTAATGGTGTAGTGCCTACCAGGGCCTGCCCTGGTGTGTCCTGCTGCCCCCGAGCGAAGTCCTGCCTCAATATGTTATCTTCACGACACGTGGTGCCTCAACCTGTCCACCCACCGCAAGCCGCGCCCGCTCCTGTGTCTGAGCTGTCTCCACCAGGGCTACCTATTGGACCTGAGGACACCACCCCCGGCTACCCGTACCCCACCGGCATGTCGACGCACACGCCATCACACTCACACTAAAAGGTATGCCCCTCAATATTGTCAATGCCTATGTGCCTCCCTCCACCGCTACTGTACCAGTCCCACCACACCATATCACCTCCACCCCCACTGTACTTCGCCACGCCTAGTACATTGGCGACCTTAAGCCTGGCCGCACTGTTTGTAAACTTTGTGGTCACCCGACTCTCACACCCTCTCTCGCTACATCCTCACTTACCCTATGACCTCCTCTTACAGGTCCCTAGCTGTTACTGACACTTTTTTTTTTTTTTAAGGTAGGGAACGGATGGAAGGCATGCTGGCGCTCAAGGCACAGCCAGACATGAGGGATAGAGAAGTCACAACATACAGTATAGTCGTGGGGGGAAAGGTTGGGAAAGAAGTTTAATGAGTTAAGCAGAGGGGGACGACACCCCCTGTTTTATATATTACAGAGTTTGTTGGCTAACTAAGCTAACCTAGGATTTAGGATGAGGTTGCACAATGGTTACTTTAGTCGACAATGACTAGATTGATTTTACAATTACAAGTTTATTAAAATCTTATACTGTATTACGTTATGGACTCACTAGATTGTGACTTGTTAAATGTGAACTTATATCATCTAAGTTTTAATCTAAGGTGGATCGCTGTGGCGGACATAGATGGGTCGTGGGTTGGGTTGTTGTAGTGCGGGCAGACTCCGGGGCCACCAGGCGTGGGGTCGCCCTCCGTTGATGTCTTCCCCGCGTAGGTGATCTGGGCTGTGAGGGTCGTCCAGGAGCTTGTCCCAAACCTTCTTCCCAGGGCGATGGAACCTGACGTTGAGGGCCTCTGTTTTATTTCTCAGGTGGATGGTTTCCATTGTCTCCTGGTAGGGTGGCGCTTGGCCACTGTCTGACCTCAAACACTTGTTTTGAAAGCTCTGTAGTTGTTGTAGTCTTGTCTTCCCGAGTGTGACGAGTAGTATATGTGGGTACTCCAACACAGGCCTCACCAGCGCCTTGTACAGGTGAACTTGTATCTTCTTAGGCATCAGTTTAAAACGTTTTAATTTGGCTGCGGCGACTTTGCCTTTATTTAGTCTGTCCTTCACGTGGGAAATGATGCCCGTCCGAGAGATGATGAGGCCGAGCAGCCTGCCTTGTTTAGAGTACTCAATCTCTTCGTCGTCGATCATCAATGGCGCCGGCTTGAATTTGGCTATGGGTATGACCTCGAATTTCGTTTTGTTTGTTTTTATTTTCCATTTATTTTCATACTCCGAGATATCCTCTATTGCCCGAGCAGTGAGTCGCGCCATCCTTGCTGTGGACCTTCCTGGGCTTCCAACACCTCTAACCTCCCTGACCAGATATCCCTCCTCCTAGTGACAGGCCTGGCACTTGACCTTATTAGGACCTGCCACACTTTGCCATAAACAGATAAATTGCACTTTATGTAACTTGCTGACAAAACCCATGACCCTTCAGGCTTTTACGCCCTTAATGCATGAATTCCGCATGCTTCCCAGATGGGCGCTGTAAACGCTTCTGCGCTTCACCTTGCACTGGATGTTAGGGGGTGCCCAATAAACTAGCTGCCTCGTGGGCAATCTAAAAAAAAATCTCTCCCTTCTGCTGCGGGACCACACTCAGCAAATCATGTATCCTGTGCCTATATTAAAACTATACCCATACATATTTTGCATTCAGTAGGTAAGTTAACTACTGTGTGCAAAACGAAGCAAATAATGTACTGGAAATACTTTGTAATATCAAATGCCATAATATCCTGACCACTGTGGTCTGATAAACACCCTTTGTGACCTCTACTCTGTAATTCTTTTTGTGTTACCGCTTACATGATGATTATGGGGTGTACAATAAACTAGTTGCTGCCAGCGACAAAATTGAAATTAAAAATTTACAACAACTTATACCACCATTAACACCACTACCACCAATACCAACACCATTACCACCACAATTACCAGTATTTATACGACAATCAAGACCACTACCACCAGTGTCACTACCAGCCACTATTACCACCACGGACACCAGCACTAATATTACCATCACTACCACTACTACTAACACCATTACTTGGGCAATACCTACAGTACATGCCATAACAAAAGTTCTTGTGAGTTTTGTTTCCCTTTATGACTGTAGAGAAGAGTGAAGAATGAGAACATCAGGATCCTACAGTCACCCCTTGACTCTCCTCCAGCCCAGGTATGTTTTCTGTGTTGGTGAGAGAGTACCGCGGGTAGGGTACTCACCGCTCTAATATAAAGTGTTAAACTGGTTCTCTGTTCTACACTGACAGTTTGTATAAGTTGTTGTTCATTTGATATTAAAGCTATCAACATTCAAAGACACAAAATGTATATAAATATCTTGTGTTTTGTAATGTGTAGTTTTAAGGACTATCTATTAAACGTATGAGTTATATACACACATATAATGGCTGGGTGATTTATTTTTATTCACTAAAATGCATCATATAAATTCACAATGTATTTAGAATGTACATAAACAATGCAGGTAAACAGTTTATGTCGATTCAACTAAGGATAACCCAAGCACCGTGCTCTAGGCTTATTTCCACTGGAGACCTATCATGGTATATAAATGTTAGGCTCAAATAACGAATTCGCCTACTGAGCAAAAAAAAAAGAAACGTCCACAACGTTGTGGACGTTCTCAAACTAACCAGAAAGCGATATTTCGCTATACGTTAGGTTATGTTAGGTTAGGTTAGGTTAGAGGAATTTCGAAACCGTCCAAAATGCATTGTGGATAATTAGAAAAACCCACGACATCAAATTTCGATTTCTGAATATTTTGCAAACGTCCTCAACGCGTTGTGGTAGGTTTTCTATCGCTCAGTGTACGAATTCGTTCTTTGAACCTAACATGATACACTTTATCTACATTATCCTCTTCACCACCAGACGGCTTTCTAGCATCCTGGGTGGTCAGTCACGCCCCTGTTACGCACTGTTGACTCCAAATGTACGTACCTGAACCTGCACCAGTGTTGGTCAATTCTGGTCTTAAATGAGTTTACATCCGGTGCCGCCACAACACTTTCTGGCAGGTTATTACAAACGTTCACAACTGTTACTCCCCAAAAAGTTAGCTCGGACAATTTATGGTAAATTTTGCTTTACAAACTGGAAAGTAAAGGGTTTATATGGTTCCAGAAAAGTCATCTGAAATATACACGAAGCGATGAATTACCCAAACAATAATGAGTCAAATTATTTCAAGGGTTATTAAAAAACAGTGTTTACTCGAACTCTTAATTTATGAACTCAAATCCTTCATCAGCATCTACGGTTTGCACCCCAGTACTGTCCTCCCTAGTACCAGCCTTCCCCAGCAGTAACTTTCCCCAGTACCAGTCCTCCCCAGTACCAACCTTGCCCAGTACTAACTTTCCCCAGTACCAGCCTTCCCCATACTAAATCATCCCAGTACGTCCTTTTAGTACCATCTCCCCAGTACTAGCCTTTTCCAGGACCAGCCTTCCTAGTACTAGTCATCCCCAGTACCAGTCCTTCCCAGTACCAGCCCTCCCCAGTACCAAGCCTTCCCAGTTCAGTACCAGCCAGTACCAGTTCAAGCCTTCCCCAGTACCAAGCCTTCCCCAGTACCAATGGTACCAGGCCTTCCCCGTACCAAGCCTTCCCCAGTTCAGGCCTTCCCCAGTACCAAGCCTTTAGTACCAGTCCTTCCCAGTACCAGTCACTCCCCTGTACCAAGCCTTCCCCAGTATCAAGCCTTCCCCAGTACCAAGCCTTTCCCCAGTACCAAGCCTTCCCCAGTACCAAGTCTTGCCCAGTACCAGGCCTTCCCCAGTACCAATCCTCCCACATTAGCAGTCCTCACCCCACTAAGCTTACATCAGGTCAAAGAAATTACAACTTCCAACCTTCTCTTGTCCAAACGATAGAACAGGGACAAGTTTTAATGGGAATATTTTAAATTTTACATCTTTCTCTCTCTCTCTTTCCCTCAGTACTTAACATCTATCTATCTATCTATCTATCTATCTATCTCTCTGTCTGTCTGTCTATCTATCTATCTGCGTCCTTATGTTTTCCAATTTAATTCTCTCTCTCTCTCTCTCTCTCTCTCTCTCTCGCGGGGGTGTTGCTGCGTGAGTCGTGGTGTTAATGGGAGGTCGTTTAGTGTGGCAGTGTGATAGTGGGAGAGAGATGTTTGTTATTGTTTGGCTCGGAGCGTTTTTGTAAGCGGATATATACGGATTTTTATACGGAATATATTTTATTTCTTGACGAATATATGTTCTCTCTCTCTCTCTCTCTCTCTCCGTTAAATTTCCAACATTTTCACATACGAAGTAAACCATAATTTTATCTTTAGGATATCTCTGGAATGTTAAACTCTTGTGTTAATGATAATATCACCCTTAAAAAAATACTAATGCTAATGATATTAACTTCCATGTTAAAGATACAAAAACCGTAATAAATATCAAAGATAATTAATGGCCACTCCTTTATAAACTAGATCCAGACTTAAGAGCTTCCGTTCAGAGAGAGAGAGAGAGAGAGAGAACCGGAGTAATATAGGTTGATGATGGTTGGTGAGAGGATTGGTAGGAGGGAAGAGGGGATTGAGGGGGATAGATAGGGATGGGGTGTGGGGGAGATGAGGAAAGTAAAGAGGGAGTGGAGAGGGGATGGGGGAGTAAAAATAGGGAGGGGAAGGATGATATCACTGGTTGGGGCTGAAAGATGTTGGGGAAGCAGATAGGAGAGAAGAGCACCACCCCAACACCCTCCTGGGGGTTAGGGGGAGGGAAAAAAAGTCTGATCTGATGTGGCAGGAAATACGAGTTTTTTCCTCACCTCAGAGAAAGAAATAAAACTAATATGATGCTTCAAGGGTCATTGATCTTTACGGATCCTCGCTCTACGGATCCTTGCTCTGTGGATCTTTGCTCTATACTAGCTCGAAGAATCTTTGCTCTACGGATCCTCGCTCTAAGGGTCCTTACTCTAAGGATCCTCACTCCACGAATCCTTGCGCTACAGATCCTTACTCAATTGATCCTCGCGCTATGGATGTTCGCTTTACGGGTCCTCACTCGACAGATCCTCGTATCGTCATTATTACTGTTATCATCATTATTGAAATATTCAGAATTACATTATCACCAAAAATTCTAAATACTGTATACCGAAAGAATAGATGACAAAAATAAATACTCAAATGACATCAACACGCTGACAGTAACGTGTTGCAACCTGATACTGACGGCACTGACAGTAACGTGTTGCGACCTGATACTGACGGCACTGACAGTAACGTGTTGCGACCTGATACTGACGGCACTGACAGTAACGTGTTGCGACCTGATACTGACGGCACTGACAGTAACGTGTTGCGACCGATACTGACGGCACTGACAGTAACGTGTTGCAACCTGATACGACGGCACTGACAGTAACGTGTTATGACCTGATACTGACGGCACTGACAGTAACGTGTTGCGACCTGATACTGACGGCACTGACAGTAACGTGTTGCGACCTGATACTGACGGCACTGACAGTAACGTGTTGCGACCTGATACTGACGGCACTGACAGTAACGTGTTGAAACCTGATACTGACGGCGCTGACAGTATCATGTTGCAACCTGATACTGACGGTGCTGACGGTACCATGTGCAACCTGATGCTGACGGCGCTGACAGTAACCTGTTGCAACCTGATACTGATGGCGCTGGAAGTATCATGTTGCAACCTGATGCTGACGGCGCTGACAGTAGCGTGTTGTAACCTGATGCTGACGGCGCTGACAATAGTGTGTTGTAACCTGATGCTGACGGCGCTAACAGTAACATGTTGCAACCTGATGCTGACGGCGCTAACAGTAGCGTGTTGTAACCTGATGCTGACGGCGCTGACAGTAGCGTGTTGTAACTTGATGCTGACGGCGCTGATAGTACCGTGTTGTAACTTCATGCTGACGGCGCTGACAGTAGCGTGTTGTACCTGATGCCATCAATGCCGATAGTACCATGTTGTAACCAGATGCTGACGGCGCTGAATAGTATTATGCTGCAACCTGATGCGGCGCCGACAGCACCGTGTTGTAATTGATGCTGACGGCGCTGGGGCCTGATGCCGTGGTTGCTGATGCTGCGGCGCTGCGTATTGCGAACTGATGCGGCGCTGACAGCACCGTGTTGTACTGATGCTGACGGGCTGACAGTAGCGTTTGAACCTGATGCTGACGGCGCTGACAGGCGTGTTGTAACCTGATGCTGACGGCGCTGATAGTACCATGTTGTAACCAGATGCTGACGGCGCTGACAGTATTATGCTGCAACCTGATGCGGCGCTGACAGCACCGTGTTGTAATCTGATGCTGACGGCGCTGACAGTATTATGCTAACCGATGCGGCGCTGACAGCACCGTGTTGTAATCTGATGCTGACGGCGCTGACAGTATGTAATAGCACCATTTGTATGATATAAATATTTACCCAAATGTATAATACCAAATTATTCACCAAGTTATACAACTGTACCTCAGCTGTTGATTTTATGCATGGCTGAGGTTGCAGTTCCTTCCGGAAGCGAGCGAGGGCAGGCTGGGGTCAGCGCATGTTAGCAACAACAAGATATCTGACGTGTTTCCTTTATCACACTCTCGAGGCCTGTTTCCCTCTCTCCCTTGGTCAGGAAGATGAGACTCATATCACTTGTTACCCAGTGAACATGTCACTTAAATGTTCGCCTATAAGTGCACTAAGACACTTCCCTTAGCAGAGAAGGTACAATGTACTCTCAACTGAACTCAGTACCTGTGAAACTATATTGTTTTACAATAAAGAAATACCAACAAAGTGTTTACTTCAGCTTGCTACTTATCAATTCCAGAAAAGGGAAACAACGAAAAAGGGAAACAACGGAGCACATTAGCTTTCGTCTTCATTCAAGACATCTTCAGAGGCAACTGGATTACATGGACAGAGAGAGGCTTAAATATACAGGGTGACCTTATTAAACATGAGGTCAGGTCATAATGATGTCATCCACTAATCCCACACACACGTAGAGGATTATCAGCAGTCTGGAGATAGTGCACCCCAAGGAAAAGTCAGACAGTGGGCACTTTATCGGGTCACTTTAAAAGCCAGTGACAAAGACCACCGCGTGTTTATATATATATTATCAGAAATCCGTGTCGGCTAATTCCTAAGCACTAGGACAAAGACCCACGGTCTTACGGACTGACAAATATTAACAGATGTCTACTATGTCAGTGGCCCCCAAAGTGCCGTCAGTGACTTTTATGGCCACCGGAGACAAACATCCTGTCCGCCCACACAACAGAGATATCACAGATGGCCACCAATCTACTTACCCCCGCGCACTCTGTACCATCTAAAGCGCGGAACGGTTATCCTGATGGCAGTGTTATCGCACACCAAGTCACTGAACATATCTCCACGCTACAGAAGCCGTGACAGGGCCGTCATACATAAGCCCATTAGGACCGAACCTCCACTTAGGAAACCGGAGAACACCCCCGACAAAACCGTACCACTCACACTGAAGTTCCACGGATGCGAAGCCTATCTCCCCGCCTCTACTGCTATCCAACGTCACTTCCCTAGAGAAATTAAGTTTGGACGAGCTGGTAACCATAGTCAGGTCAGTCACGCGAGCGTCGTTGCCATATGGGCTTGGCAAATCAGCCTGAAACGTCATATTGGTGGACATCAACTCTTCATCACCTCGCCTTCACATACACGCCGAGGGCAAGGCCCTTCTGTCAAGATACCCACGGCCGTCACGCCTGGATGTTGAAGTCCCAGCAGATGTGGAAGCCATTATGGGTACGCAGCAGCCACGGCCCACCCGCGCCCACACTGCTTCCATCATAATCTGTGTGGCATACCACTCCCGGGCCTCGCTTTCACCCACCAGAGACACTTCCATTTAATCAATTCTTTACCACCCCAGGATCATCTCAGAAAGAAACGGCAAGCGTTAGTATTAGCGGGATTATAATGAAATTCGACACCACTGATATCATGACCAGCTACTATCACAAGTTGTAAACTTCTCTCACACACGGTCAAAATACCCTGACCTTATCTAACTGACTTTAATGACCAAAAATGTTCAATTCCTCAAATATTTTACTGTAGTACACACACTTATCAGTGCTCTGTCCCCAGCTGCTACCCCACTCAAGTACAGAGACCCTACATCGCACCTACAGACCGATTACTGACTTGCAATGCGCTCCTTTCGGGCAGGATAGTTCACCATTCCTGACTTGAAGTGTGTTCAACGCGGATGACGTGAAACCAAATGATAAATTCATACCAACACCACCACAGAAGCTCACCACTTCTTTCCCGAAAGCTAGTCAGATCTCACCCAGCTGACTTGCCCTGATCACACTCGATCAAAAACACTTATGTAACAGAGAGACACAGAGCCTTTCATCTCAATGACCATAACTACCTGGCAGGGTCCTTCAAACCAGTCATCCATGAAATACGCACTGCAAAGAAGTCCCAATACCCAACCAACATAAACACCTGAAGCAGACCAACATCAGTCAATGGTATGGCAAACTTAAAGAACTCTCTGTGGACTAAACACAAGACACACCCTCCCCTTCCTTAGCCATCTCTATTAATGTTGACGCAGCGAGCAATCAAATAACCATTTCTGCTACTATATGCCAGACGCTCCCTGGCTTGACATGTAAACCACTCTCCCTGCTTACCTACCAGCCCCTTCCCACTGACTTAGTAGAAGAATTTGAAGGAAAAACACTAAACTAAAATTAAACGCTCTACAACCCCTCATTGATTCTACTTCCAATGAAATCCTTCAAGGAGTTCTTCCGAAATGGTTAAACCCCAATGTCTACCAATGCTTTTCCCTAGTCAGTT